TTTCTTAAATTTTTAGGAAATTTAAGTTATTTTTATATGCGCCCTATATTTAAATTTTTCTTATTTTCACATATGGTAAACAAGTCATATAGAGATACAAAATGATACAAAAACAAAAAGTTTTGACCGTTTACTTTACTAAGAGAGTAAAAACACTTTCTATAGATTTTTGGCTCATATCTGTACTAAGATTGGAAGCTTTAAAAAGCTAACATAATTGTTGTTTGTTTGGAAAATCATATAATATTTATATGAAATATTTTAAAACTTTAGTTCCTTATTATTAATTTAGCTAACATTTGAAAAAATCTTCAAGTCTTTGATCGTGTAAAAATTATAACTAAATTCGTTGTTCTACCAGAAAAGAAGATATTTTCATACACCACTATTCCGCCAAAAATATAGTCCCTGCTAGTTTTCGAAAACAATTTACCCTTTCTATTTAAAGTTGTACAATTGTGATGAGGAAAGAAAAATATGGTCTTTTAAATCTCTTTCACCTAAATATGTGACATATAAGCAAATATACATTGAATATTTCATCTACTCAGAAACCAGAGAAGAATCCTACCTTAAGCATATGCAGAAATTACGTGGTTATGATTTATTAAGCAAGGATGCTTCTTCCAAAATTGTGAAATCATGGCCCCTGGCTCAGCAATTCTGGTGTTAGGGTGTGGCTCTGTACCATATACATGTAGGTAATTATATTATATATGGAAAATTATCAAATATCCAATATATATTCAGGAAAAGCGAAAAGAAACATCAGCTATGCATTTTTTAATTGAAAATTGATCTATAAATATATTTTAGGTTTAAAAATATGGATTTTTTTCACTTATTCAATATTCAGTCTTCTATTTCCTTTATTTATTATACAGATAGTGTAAAAAGTTTGTGCTATCAGTGCAAAAAACAGATTTCTAATTTTATATCATGCTAATAAGCATTGGTATCGAATGCAAGATTTTTTTTAAATAAAAAGTTCTGATTTTCTTTAAAACGGTATTTATTTTTTACTTTTATTACCGTCTTCCTTGGAAGACGGTATACAGAGTTAACTTAAGGAACATTGATACTCTGATAAGAGAGATAACTCTTAATGATACAAATGTTTATTATTCCCTTATAAATTTGTCAAGTTGAAGTGCATTTTTTGTCAAATTTTGCCCCGCAAGCCATGCTATAATTGTTTGCATTTTATTCAGCATACACATTTCCTTTTGAAAATCATTAAAGTTCAAGAACAAATCTATATGAGTGAGCAGGGGGTTTATGAACCTTAAGTAATTTACAGTCTTCGGACTATGAACTTCCTCTCTTTTGTGATTGGTAGAAATTGCATGGTTTAAAATTTTTCAGTTATTTCATTGGTTGAAATGTTGTATCCTTAATTAGACATTTAATGACACAAAAAAGTAAAACCCTTCAGGGATATGTATTTTTTATTACGGTATTTAACAATACACAACGTAACCACGAAAATATATAAAAGTACTAGTATCTCTCACATATCGAAAAATCTGCTCAAAATTTGAGTGCTCTTCATCAAATATTCACACCTCGTTCACTAGATTTGAACAATGTCGGAAAATGTTTTTTTTTTCGTATGATTGACAAAATACAAGTATACGTAATGGAAGAAATATATCGTATTATCAGTCTATACGTCACAGAATGGTCTGATTTTGTCCTCCTGCTCCCTCGTTCTTATTAAGAGACATTGGGAGGGTGATTATATCTTTATTTGTTGCCCTTTAACAATTGCTGCTTCACCTTTTGTCCTCGATCCATTTGTGCTGTCGCATTTCAGTCTCACTCTCTTTTTTACAACTCACAAACAAGTGCAATAGCTAAACTCAATCACAGAAAAATCATTCATTATTCGAGATTGTCCTGTACAGGAAAAGGTCTCTTGATAAGAAAACCGGTATTTTGAAAGAAATAATATTTTCATAAAAATGCATTATTTTGCAGTTAATGAAATGTTCTTTATTTGTACTACAAAGGGGTAAAATCTATGTGGCGTAACATTTCATTTCTTTCTTGGAAAAATGCGTAAAGTAACAAAACAAGAATCTGAGAAAGTATAAAACGAGACGAATTACCAGTACACAATGCATTCAATAAACTAGACCTCATACATTTCCTGAGATTCTACTTTGTTTCATTACCACTTTGATTGATAAAAAGGATCTTGTGCAATATAACAACGTACATAAAAATTCCTCATATGTGCCAGGTATGAACATAAAAAATCAAAAATCACAACCTCAGGAACAAAACTGCAGTTCAAAGAGTTCTTTTTAAACTTTATAAGTTCATTGGTTAATCACGGTCACATGATCATCATGACATAGGCCTGCCTCAAACTTCATCCTCCTGCGCGGACTCGTTCACTTTCTTGGATTTCAGTAAAGAATTTATCATAAACAATACCTGATCTAGTTTCTGGTCCATTTTATTTAACTGCAAAATATAAGAACTTTATATTAAAATAAAAGAAAAACAAATAAATTTAATAAAACAAGAACAGTTTCAAAAACATATATTTCCCTATGTAACAATATTGAAATGGTTAACTTTAAATCTAGAATGCCTGTAAAGTGAAAGTGAAACAAAAGTAACCTTTTGCACATGACCCATGTAGTCAAATTTAGTCTACTCTCAATATTTTACTTCTTAGTACCAGCGTGCCAAGTTTAATGATTTTCAAAGATACTGAGCGGTCAATCTTTTCCCATGTCCTAAACTTAAATTTTGTGACCTGGAAGTCTAGATACATAGGCGTCGGAACCGGGGGGGGGGGGGGGGGCTAGGGGGGGCCCCCCCCCCCACTTTTTTTCCAAATATATACTTAGTATAGGCATTGAACATGTCTTCGTAGGTTTAGCCCCCCCCCCCCACTTTCCACAGATACGCCTTAGTATAGGTTTAAAATGGGGAAAGTGGTGGTGTTTGGAAAAAAAATTTGGTACTGAGTTCGAACCGAACCCCCCCCCCCCCCCCCCCCCCCCCCCCCCCCCCCCCTTCCACGACGAAATAGGATTTTCGTGTTTGGGAAATGGACATTTCTTTTTTTTTTTGTTTTTTATTTTTTTTTTGTTTTAGTGCTTGTTAGGTTTTTTTGAAGGCACACAAATTTTTTTTTTTACACTTAGCCCCCCCCCCCCCACACTTTCAATTTGCTTCCGACGCCAATGAGATAAGATATCAACTCCATGAGAAAAACCAAAGACGTCAGTCGAGCAATTGTAACGCGTCATTTGAATGGGTAAACCTGGGTTGCTTACGTCATATTGACTTCTGTCAAAAACGTAATACTATCAATCCGCTTGACGTTACATTTAAAATATGAACAAGTTGAAGACGTTTTTAAGGGAGAAATTGTTTTGTTTTCTATACTTAGTGATAGAAAATTATATTATAAGGAATGCATTGATAAACAGCAACCCAAGTTATACTGATATAACCTGGGTTGGGTCCGTTTACGTTTTTTCTCTAAACCGTTTCATACAGCATAACTTGGGTTGCTATTTTAATTCATTCCCTAAATGTCTTCTGTAGTTTGACCTTGACCTTTGAAATAAACACATAAAAATCGTTTCAATAGAGGTCATTTACTCCTTAATACTGAGAACCAGTGTACCAGGTTTAATATTATGTCAAGTAAGGGGTATGTAATATATTTAACAGTCAATATATTCCCGTGTCCAGTTTGGCCCTTGATCTTTTGACCTCCACTTAAACTCCCTAAGGGGAACCAATGTACTATTGATGCTTCAAAATACTTGAAGATAATTTTATATATTTAATTCGTATAAATCATTATTAATATTCATCGTTTGTAGTTCAATACCTGATTTTCACACCGGACAACTCTTGCACTGATGGTTAATTTTTCTCGGTCCTTATGGTAACCACTGGAATATAATGTGCTGGGCTTCCCGAGTGTTTGGTCTAACCTAGCAAATAAGGAAAGAGGTTCCGTTTTCTTGTTCTATTTCTACCCAGAGTTATTGTTCCTTTAACTTGCCTCAGATTATTGTTAAATATTTACATTCGCTGTGTTTTTCTAGTAAGCTTACTGTGAAATTGATTTGAAAAACATTTTCGTGTATACTCACGCGTAGAAATATACTCAGAGAAACGTGCGTTAACGTGACGTCACAATGAGACTGCAGCGACGTTAGTAAAATGCAATAATATAGGACAGCGAGAAATTCAAATATTGAGTATATTTTAGTTGCCTCCATACAGGTAAAATGTAAATATAAGGAATGTTTTTCAGTTTAGTGTGAATTATCGGTGTGTGAATCACACAGACTTGCACATAGGCATATGCCTACGTGACAAGTCTGTGTGATTCACACACCAATAACTCACACAAAACTAAAAAACATTCCTTAAATAAACCTAACATCATGAGATTTTTTTTCATAAAATAATCTTTTGAACGCCACAAAAATATACATAGGTGTAATGTTTATCAATTTTGCCATGTGATATCTTAAAATTCGGGTTATTCTCACAACGTTAAGGGCCCTGAATTAATCACTTATCGTTGGACTCCAGACAAATTTCATTGGACACTTTTATGGAAAGACTGTAGCGATATCTTTAGGAAAAATTACACTTTAAAAGCTTGTTTACTGGTTTTTTTCTTATCTCTCAACCAATCAAATTTAATTTTTCGGGGAGAAACAGACTTTCACAAGTCCAATGGAGAGTCTGTCAACTGCTTACTTTCTGTATACGCTTTATATTAATTTATGTAAGCAAATATCTGACTAGTACTCCTCCGTGAAAGGAGAAAGTCCGTATAATGTCGATTTCAATTTGTCAGGGGTCCAACGGTTACGTTTTGACGCAAGACCTCTAGCGTGGTGATAAGATTTCAGGTACATGTATATCCGCCTGTACATCTTTTTTATATTAAGAATGCAGTTGTGATCATTATTGATCAAGTTTCTTTGTAGTACAATAATCTATATATAGAAGTGACAATTTATTTAAGATTATCGTTAAAACAGCTCAACGGTTCTTAATTTTATTATGAACCACATAAATGTCTTAATCTTTAATATTTATAAAAGTTATTTTTATCCACTGTGGCTTCGTGTTTTAACCCTTACCTTCGTTGTAACTCTTTGATTCGGACCATCATATTTAAATGACCTTGAGAGTATTGCTCTATTACGTCACGTACATCATAGGGTTTACGTGCTTGCTGTTGAAAAAAAATTGTCATTTTTTATGGCTTGTTTGTTTAATATGAAGGTATTCTCTGATCATTCTTATGAAATTCATTTCTTTTGAAATGTATCTATACATTTTAGGCATGAATTAAATGATAAATTAGAATTTGTATAGGCATTAAAAAAATTACAAAAAATCAAAACCTGAAATTTTCGCCTGGCTACAAAATATTTGATTTTTCTAATGACTCTAATAGCTGTTTTGTGTGCGTCTGTTAATCTGAAATGAAAAGTACATATGGCACAAAATTTACTTCGACTCAATTCACCACAATCAATGAAAAAGATCAGAGTTCTGGAGATACGCTAACTGAACATTGGAAATTTGAGAGCAAGCAAATTACATCACATTCCAAAAGCAAATAGTTGTAAATTACTCGACGGCATGTCATTGCGTGGATTGTATAGGAAATGCATCTATTTCCACTCTGTCGTTGCCCAAAACATGACAGACAAAACTGAATCGTTAGAACGCATCATTGCATAATCAACATGCGTTTGCTAAATGTTCTTATCTTTCAAGTTATTATCATTTGATGCAACATGAACAGTTTTATCTTTAGATACTCATCTCTAACTTCTTCTTTTCTAGAAAATCTTTTAGACAACTAACAGAGCGAATTAGTATCAACCTCAATTTGTTGCTCAAATCCAAATCTGAACATTTTTTTTAAATAAATGACGATAAATATAGGCTTCAAACCAAATAAATAGGGATCACTTATTTCTCGAGTTGAATTCTACATATATAGATGTGGATAGTGATCACACATTATTGTGCCTAGATTTGAGCGACTCTAACCTTCGGAAATTGATGTTTGCTTTCTAGCCAATACTGTATACTGTAGCAATGTTGTTTTTCGTCGTCGTTATTGTTTAGAACTAAGATTACACATTCCCATGTTTATAAACTTTTTTCTCCATTATTTAAAACATCATTGATCTTAAGTAAACACTTTTCAATGTAAAATTTACAAGTATATTTCTTTTACTGCAATATTCCTACACAAAAAATACGAGGAAAAACAATTATCGATCACTCTTTGCCAAATCCAGGGTAAACTAAAACCTACAAAATATTGTATACAAATTTGAACAATCGGAAGCCTTGCAGTTCTTTCAATATTTTTTTGTAAAATATAACAAAAAAGATAGATATTTCCCTTTGTCACCATCCTCACCCTAGAATTGTGAGTTGTATAAAATTGAATTGACGTCATCGAGGATGTTTGCTTTCTGATTTGATGGAAACCCTACACTTCCAAGGGAAAATGAGTTTTAATTAAAATATTTTTATATAGTTTTTTACCCTGTCCGTCCGTTTGTCTGCTTGTCCGAAAGAAAATGAACGGACATATTATCTTATGATAAAAATTCAAACTTTGACCTTTACTTACTGGACTACTTTTTCTGCTTCCTCATTATCGTAGTCATTGTCATCCATGTAGTTATCCCCAGTAATGCTATTGGAATGATACGTACTAGAACCTGAGCACTGTCTTTGGAAATCCCTCCGCGGGTTTCGTGGTGTACCAGCTTAATAAAAGAATTCATATTCATTTAAAAAAAAAGGGGGGGGGATAATTTTATTATACCAAGTGAAGATAAATTGCAAAGTAATATACCGGGTATTTCAAGTGAAATTTCAAGTTGTCCAGTCAATATCTGGTTATGCTGTATATTTACAAGTATATTCATAATGCTGTTTCTACTTTCAAAAATGTAATTCCTGTTGAAATATGTCTTTTTTCCCCATTTTTGTATACCTAATTTGTCCTCTGTAAACACAGAGGTCATGCTCTCCCTATAATGATTTCCCAGGGAATCCATTCTTGAGGAGCGTCTTTTTCTTAGCGTCAAACTTGCGCGCCGAGCCATGCGCGCTAACATATTTTCCTCATTGGATGCGTCATGAATGTGGATTTTCCACGTGGCCTCAGAATGGTGAGCCGGATCAGCGGCAAAACAGCGCCACACACACTGAAAGAAGAATGTTAATGCTCTTTTATGCAATTCCAAGCTTCTTTTTACTTATACAAATCAACCAATAGCTATTTTTTCTTACGAAAGGAAAAAATATGCAATGGTGATCAAAAGGGAATGTCTTGCATTTAATTATATAAGGTAATATATTTTGTCCAAAGTAGGAATTTATCACGCGTTCAATTACCAGAATTGAAGGAAATGACGTAATGTACCTCACCAATGAAATACAGTAATTGTACTTTAAAATACACTACACTGCATCCAACCGACTGAAATCAATAATAAGCGTTTACCTTACCGATTGGTTAGTTAGAGTTGGTTACCTGCCCCTGTCATGGTGGGCAGTGTTTTTTTACGAGCAGAGCAGATAAATGTAAAATATTAGGAAACCGAGTGTGGGTAGATGGAAGTTATCGGTTGTAAGTTACCGTAGTTGTTATGAATTACTATGTATTACTTTATCGCATGTACTATGGTGATATTGGACTGACTTTTTGCAGTAAATGCAGTGTTTGCTTATGAGTTGAACTCACCATAGAGGCATTGAACATTTGAACATTTGAACAACTGAAACAACTGAAAAATCTAAATCTAAACTGTTATTGAACGTTATTATCGTCTTTACTTTTGATTAACTTTGCCATAATATCTAATCAAATCATAATGAGTAACAAAGACTCATCAAACAAAAGGTGTATCAGTGAACTTTCGCTTGACATGTCAAGATCATTCAGTGATGTGATCCAATCAACAAAAAAGTCTCGGGATGGCTCATTGTCAGACCAAATTCATGAACAGGAACCTATTCCTACTCAAACATCTACTCCTGCAAATATCAAATGTGCTACAGGTGACCTAAGTGAGCAACAACATCATGTTTCCCAGTACCCCACCCCTCAACTTTTAGTATCAGGGCCTATCACAATTTGTAGTGAGGATATACAAAAGATAGCAGAAAGTGTTAAAGCCTTACTCAGTGCTGACTTAGCCTCACTCACATCTGAAATACAAAGTATTGTTAAAAGCGAGGTGCAGAAAGCAACTGAGCCCCTGGAACAAAAAATTAAAAACCTTGAAAAACAAAACAAAGATTTGTTCCTTAAAGTTGACGAACTAGAGCAATATGGTCGCAGGCCTTTAGTTCGAGTGTCTGGTATACCCGAAACGATGAACGAAAATACATCGGACAAAATCATGGGTGCCGTTACAGCCGCCGGTATTCCTCTTCAGCGAGAGGATATTATTGTATCTCATCGAGTTGGAAAACCTGATCCCAACCGAACACGCCCTAGACAAATAATTGCCCGATTAAAATCAGTGGATCTTAAATTCCATCTTGTCAAAAATTCAAAAAAGTTCGCAGAAACTGATGAGACAGCTGGCATTACCATTAACGAGGATCTAACGAAGTATCGTGACAAGATCATGTTTCTGGGCAGACAACTCTGTCGAAATCGCAGGATAAAATCAGTGTCGTCCTCCAATGGCAAGATCAAAATTTACGATCGGAACAATGATTCTCATTTTATTCGAGAAGAGGCAGATCTAGTACCCTTTGGACACGAAATGGCAATCGATTAAATTGTTACAATCTGAAATGCGTTTAAATAAATTTAAGACATAAACTTTCCTCCCACACCAGTTTTTTTTTCTCTTTCTTAGAACTCATGTAAAATGAACTGCATCATTTTATGTCTTTTGTTCTATGCAGTTCAACTTACTTGTTCCTTTCAAGACTTAGAGGTTCAATCAACCTCAAACTTTTTTGATGCAAAAAGATCTTGTAAAAAGTATTGTGTGTACAACTCAGTGTTTGTATATATACTGAAAGGAAAAAGAAACGCATATTTTACTTTTAGATTAAATTAAAACTATTATTTCGAAAATGTTTTCCAGTATTGTTATCAAACATTTTAATTCATCTTTAATCTACAAGTTACCAAAATCTTGTGTGACTTTGACTGATAATTCCTGAGTTATTGAAATTGATACGTCGATACCCCCCAAATTTAAAATAAAAATTCTCATAATCTCCCTTGCACATTGGTAACAGCCTTGATTTTCCTGTGCATTGAGTTCACCAGAGCATTTATCTTTCTCATTTGATTATTATTCAACTCTTCCGACAATAGTCTTAATGGTTGATAGAAGCTGTATTATTCCAAAGCCAACAAATCCCCCCGCCAAATGAGTGCCACGAATTTTCATTTTAGGATAGAATTTACAGAATCCAGCTGTTTTGGTACACGTGAATGTTTGTGAGAAAGTCTCGACAAACACTGGCTACATTTTCCCAGTGTGAACATGCTAAAAACATTACGCACACGACGTGTACGTGCGCGCGTGAGAGTAAAATCGACGTAAAAGTTGCCAAGCTGGCGGACCAAATTAGAGCAGAGAAATTCTGTCAATTTTAGGGTGAAAATATTGGTATGATAGTTTGCTGTATAAATATCGGTTTCAGTGATAATACCTTGACAAGAACCGAGGAGACGTGATGAAAAGCCCTGTCTTGATGTGACGTTGTTACGCGTCAACGTCACCGCCATGGTTGGTTGGAAACCTTTTAATTTACTCTCTGACAACTGAAAACCCCTTTCTTGTTGAAAAGTTTGAAACAAACTGCACAGCAACATCTTGTTGCCTTTTCATTCACTTACGCAATTCAATTACTGGAACCATTGTAACTTCCGTCAGCCATACCATGATTGCACGAAATTTATACTGATTTCAAATGCGGAAAACGATGTCTATAACTCCAATGCATCGATTAGCACCACAAAATGTGATCATAAAATTGTCATCATCAACATGCACGTGTTTTTGGCTTTTTATCATTTCCCCTACGTGACGCCATACATTTCATGGTTGAGTAATTTTGACCAGCAATTATTGTGCACAGTAATCAAAATACACATTTGACCAATTTTCATAATTTTCGGCCTTTTAGTTAAATATATTTCGCTATTATGCTATTATGCGTTTCTTTTTCCTTTCAGTATATTTCCTACACACAATATTCCTGTTTCCTGTTTCTTTGTTTTGTTATTATTCTCAATGTATATTTCTTTGTTCATTTTTTTGTTGTATTATTTTTTTGTGTTATACTTTATAATCCTTATAACTTCAATTGTCATGCTTCATGCATTCCGCTGAATTTACCAAACTCTGTATTTTTTGTCCCATCTATAATGTTGCTCTTATCCAAAAACACCATTGCAGCACCTTTTTTATTTCGTACTGTACACTTTCACCAAATTTTAGACAATGGGTGACTCTGTTGAGCAATACCGTGCTGCAATTGGTCTTTTTTATTTATCCTGTAGAGGTGTATGCAAGTCTTACTCATTCCATATCTCGTTTTGTGAATTTTTATTGCGCGTTCTTTATAGTATGATCAAAACATTACTTAGAAGTTCGACACGGTTTACAAAAAACTTAGTGTATATCAACTTTTACTTGCAGTTGTTTACGTTTATATTATTAGCCTGTGGTGATATTGAGGTCAATCCAGGACCCACTATCGAAAGTGTCCTTGACATTTTGCATCTAAATATTCGCAGTATAAGAAACAAATTAGGTTATTTGAACTCATTCGTCCATGACTTTGATATATTGTGTTTTACTGAGACCCATCTTGACCATACCATATCGAATGATAATCTATTATTAGATGGTTTTAGTAATATAATACGAAAAGATAGAAATTGTTTTGGGGGAGGTGTTATGATATATTTTTCAAATCAGATACATGTAACAAGACGCCAAGAATATGAACCTGCAAATTTAGAGTGTATTTGGTTAGAAATCGAAAACCGTACCTGTAAATACTATCTCTGCTGTATTTATCGACCTCCAAACGCTGATGCCAGTTTCTGGACTAAACTTTCATGGAGTTTAGATAAAGTAGGAGAATCCTCGAGTAAAATCATAATTGTTGGTGATATAAATGTAGATTTGTTAAACACTCCTCAAACACACATAATACGAGAAATAGTTTCAAATTCCAATCTTGTCAATAACATCCACGTACCAACGAGAATTTCTAACAATACACGCACGCTTCTTGACCCAGTTTTCACTTCAGCTGATATTCAGGTACATGATTCGGGTGTCCTTGAAATTGACCCAGCTTTTAGTGATCACAAAGCAACTTATATTGCACTAGCCTCGAATATAAATTACAATCGCGCTTACGAAAGAAAAGTATGGGATTATAAGAGTGGTGACTTTGACAAATTAAATTCCTTAATACAAAATTGTGATTGGGATAAATATATCAATGATGCCGACAATATAGACGCGGCTACTGACAATTTTTCAAACAAATTTCTCTCTTGTGTTAGACAATCTTTCTGTGAAAAAACAATTACTATTCGTCCACGAGATAAACCTTGGATGGACTCCATTCTGCGTAAAACTCTAAGACTTAGAAATAGATTACGAAATAAAGCATTAAGAACGAAGAAAGATTCGGATTGGGCTGAATTCAAAAAAGTTCGGAATACGTTCAATAACATGAAAAAATACGCTGTAGCTAATTACTATGACAATATAGAAATGCACCTAGTAGACGCAAACAAAAACAACAACAAATTATATTGGAAACTAATGAAGGACGCATTTAATGTTAAATCATCCAATGATATCCCTCCATTACAAATTACTACCGATAATGGGAAAAATAGCTTAGCCTTTTCTGATCAAGATAAAATTGAAGCACTCAACAGTTATTTTTCATCCATCTCGTGTATTGATGATAAAAACCATAGTCTACCACAAATCTACTCTTCATGTAGTGATAATCTTAGTAATATCATAATTAATGAACAAGAGGTAGTTGACATTATTTCAATAATTCCTGTTAATAAAGCCACAGGTCCCGACTGCATCAGTCACAAAATGCTTAAAAATACTGTTTCTACTGTTTCAAAACCATTGACTATGTTATTTAATAAATCACTATCAGAGAATGTTTTCCCGTCCATGTGGAAAGTAGCTCATGTATTACCTCTCTTTAAAAAGGATGATCCGTCTTTAGTGTCTAACTATAGGCCTGTGTCGTTGTTAAGCTGCGTTAGCAAAATTATGGAGAGAATTATTTTCAAACACGTGTATAATTATTTTCATTATAATAATTTATTTTATCGATATCAGGCGGGTTTTTTACCTGGTCACTCTACAGTGTACCAACTTCTAGAAACTTATCATAGCATTGTGCAAAGTATAGACGAAGGCAAATCGTGTTGTATGGTTTTTTGCGATCTATCTAAAGCATTCGACAGAGTATGGCACAAGGGTCTTCTTTTCAAATTACAAACGTACGGAATATCTGGTGATCTTTTACTGTGGTTTACAAGTTACTTGAGAAATAGATCACAAAAAGTTATGTATAAAAATCTGCTATCATCCAACCTCAATATATATGCAGGTGTGCCTCAAGGCTCAGTTCTAGGTCCTCTTTTATTTTTGATATATATTAATGATGTTGCTGAAAATATGCTTACAATGTGTAGATTATTTGCTGATGACAATTCACTGCAACATGCATCATATAATGTACTAGATATAGAATACAGGTTAAACCACGATCTTGATGTTTTAGACAAATGGTCGAGTACATGGCTTTTAAGATTTAATCCAGCAAAAACAAAGGTTGTATTTTTTTCGTTAAAACATAGACCTGTTTTACCTAACTTGTATTTTCAAGGTAATGCACTGGAGTTTGTATCGGCGCATCGCCATTTGGGTATATTGTTGTCACAAAATCTCAACTGGTCTGAATATATAGATGGTATTGTTAATAATGCTTATAAGAAATTGGGGTTATTGAAGAAGTTGAAATTTTCAATCGGTAGGAAAAATCTTTCTCTTTTGTATACAACATTTGTAAGACCTACACTTGAATATGCTTCAATTGTCTGGGATGGTTGCTCTTTATCTGATGTAGAAAAACTTGAAAAAGTACAATTAATGGCTGCTAGAATAGTTACTGGTCTTCCTATATTAGCTTCAAGAGAATCACTCTATTTTGAAACAGGATGGGTACCTTTGAAAAACCGTCGTTACCAATCTAAAATGATTACAATGTTCAAAATTAATAATTGTAATGTACCGGAATATATACAAGACATAGTCCCAAAGAAACGAGAACACACATCAAGATACAATACACGAAATAAGGATCAATTAACTATCCCAAGGGGCAGGTTAGAAATATTTAACAAATCTTTTGTACCTGATGCAGTTAAAAAATGGAATTTACTGAATAAAGATACAAGGGAAGCCATCTCAGTCAATTCTTTTCGTAAGAATATAAGTGATAATAATCCTAAAGCACCATCATATTTTTTGTTTGGTAAACGTATTACCAACATTATTCATACTAAATTAAGGCATAACTGTGTTTTGAACCAAGACTTATTCAAACGTAATATTATTGATAATCCCTACTGCTCTTGTGGTAAACACGAAGATGCCTATCATTTTTTCTTTGTTTGTAAAAAATACTGTAATGCTCGAAGTAATCTTTTTGACTATCTTTTTCGACTTGATTTAAACATCATAGATGTACACCTACTGCTATGGGGCAATGAAAATCTCTCAATCGAAGTAAACAGTGACATTTTTGCCGCTGTTCATAAATTTATAAATGAATCCTGTAGATTTAGCTAGATATATTATTGAATCTTATTTGTACACGTTTTTGTTTCTATTTTGCATGACAATTATTATGTGTTTTTTAAGGAGAAGAACTAGTAAGTTGTTAGAACTTGTTTCTTATCCTTTTGCTTGACAATAAAATATGTTCAAAACAAAACCTTACCGATGAACTAAACTATCATTACAATTAAGTACATTAAGGTACCTAATCTATACGCTAGAAAAAAATTATCTGATTGGAATACACTGGACTGACCAATAATATATTCAGCTTAAATGTACCTAACCAATGCACTACAATAATGTACCAAACATTACACTACAATAATGTTCCAAACATTACACTACAATAATGTACCAAACATTACACTACAATAATGTTCCAAACATTACACTGCAATAATGTACCATACATTGCACTACAATAATGTTCCAAACATTACACTGCAATAATGTTCCAAACATTACACTGCAATAACGTTCCAAACATTACACTGCAATAATGTACCATACATTGCACTACAATAATGTTCCAAACATTACAATAATGTTCCAAACATTACAATAATGTTACAGTACTTGAAAATTACACTTCAAAACTTCGCTTCAATAATGCACTTCAAAAATATACACGACCAACAAAATATATGGTGATAATTAACCGTTCTCAAAATTCCATTGAATCAATACAAACTGGGAGTAAAGCAAACATGCTCCACTTAAACAATTAACAAAGGTGAGATCAGGTGCCATGGATAAGTAAACATCCTCCTCCTGGTCACATCCTGCGCTGCTTGTCATGATCCAGTTAACGTAAAAATTCGTCAACAATTCGATCTGCATTATCCAATACACGACACTAATATATCTCACCAATAACACTATAACAATGAATCCGATCACTTCACTACAATAATCTACCTGAACAATACAGCAGGTTGACGTACCTGGATAAGAGTGGCAGCTGCTGGGATTTGCCTGTTGAAATGTTTCTGTCGCTGCTTCTGTTGGACTTTGAGAGCGAAGCCCGATCCAAGTATGCCCTGGTGAATTATAATGATGTCAAATAAAATACTAGTATATAATTTGTACTATCCTGCACTATTGGAACATGTAAAGTTCAATTAACCCAAAAAAATTCCCCACATCATAAAACAGATAAAGCATTCAAATACAGAATTTGTATTTTTTTTGCAAATAAATAAGACGGTCATACATCTTGGTTTCTTTTGAATAAATAAATAAATATACGTTATAGGTTATCTCCTATGAAAAAATCTCTACAGATAATATGAAATCTTACTGCAGGCAAAGCAAAGAAGGATATGGCAAACACTGCAAAACAGGAGGCGACAATTTTTCCTAGCCAGGTTTGTGGTACTTTGTCTCCGTACCCGATGGTCATCACAGTTATCTACAACAATATTGTCAATTATCTGTTAATGAAATATTCGTTAATATCGTTTTTCTCTTTATACAATATTCTTTAATATCATTTATCTGTTTATATAATATTCGTTAAGCATTTATCTTTTTTTTATACAATATTCTTTTATCATTCATCTGTTTATATACAATCCGTTTATCATTTATCTGTTTATAAGGGGTGTTAAGAAAGTTCGTTCCAGGATGAAATATTTTCAAAAATTTCAAAGTTGTGCTTAACTGAAGAGATGAATTTTGAAGTCTGACAAAATCACAAGTGTGCTTTAAATTTATAGCACTTCATTTCTAGTGGGAAATTATAGGATTTTTCCTCCATATGAAAATATATATAACATCTTTAAAGCACCCGAATGATAGAAATGCTTGCCATTTTGACTGAAAATAAAGGATAGTTTACTGTTGTTTCTTCATAGCTTATCTTGCATCAGACAAACTAATGAGCGTAGGTATATAAACGATAGATCACTTTTCAAAAGAATAGGTTTGTCATTTTGGAATTTTTTTTTTCAGATTTGATAATTTTTGCATAATATTTGAAAGGATGTCTTGACCTGTGTGCCTAATATATGTCAAAAATATGCGTCATCCCAAATTTTTCTGAAATGACATCATCTGTTTTAATACCTGCCCTCCCCTTATTGATTCAGCAAAAGACAATTAAAACCTTATCAGTAGCAAGAATGGACTCTGTAAACATGAAATACCACAAATTGTAAATATCTTCTCACCATATTTCATTTTTAAAATAAAAGAAAAATGTGGAACGAACTTTCTTAACACCCTTTACAATGACTTTACAAAGTCATTTTCTTTCGATGGCTTCTTTTACTTTCAATTTTGGATAAAAAATACCAACTTTCCTCACACAAAGACTTCATAATAAAGCTTAACTGCTCTCAATTAAACCCTCATAAGAATACATCTAAATAGCTATTTATAAATGAAATAAATATATATCAAGCATATGCGGTGTTTGTGCACAAAGAACAACATGAATGGCCATCACAGAACATCCGAATACACAGCAGTTTTACAAAATATAGAAAAAATACCCGATTTCCAACAGAAGGTGTCTGGTTGTATATTTTTAAACTAAACAAAATCTCTCAAAACCTGAAGGGAGAATTTCTTGAAGGGAGGTTCAGCAAATAAACAATTAGTCGAAGAAACCTACTCACAACTTAGACAGACGGAGTCTGGATTGCTATTTATACAATGAATGATAGCAATCACAAGTTATCAGTAAAGGGCATACGGCATTTGAACAAAAACAAACTAAACAAAACTACCACACTTAATATCTGTCAACATCCGAGCAGCTATAAAAGTACATTTTTTTTTAAATCTGCAACTACATTAACGAAATTCAAGTACTTATAAACCGAACAGGTTGACTATGACTATAACTTTTTTAGAACGGACTTTATATCTATAAACAGGGGAAAACTACTCACAACTCCCCACCAGAGGGCGTCGGCGTAGCTGTTAAAATCTTTTCTTTTGTCACTTCTTTCTGCGAGGTAAACAAAGTACGAGGAGAAGATAAGACCCAAGAATCCTATGTACAAAGTCGTGATCAACTCCTGCAAGTAAAATAATGGTTTGTCCGGTCATTCTTATAGACTTGGGGATATTTTTAAGAAATACTGTATATTAGATGTACAGATCCGCCGATCCATGCGCAGATTTAAGATATATAATTCAATATAAGTACAGATCCGCCGACCTATACATATATATATACATGTATACAATTTTTAAAACCATTTCATTGATAAAAAAAAAACAATTGTAACGAAATTTCAAAAACTTAAACGTAGATCTCTTAAAACATTTTAATTTTTTCTCATGTCATTATTAAATCAGATTTAGATCAAATGTATATGCTCCCTTCTGAATAAGATAAATGCGTCTACAGAAAAACAATCATAAAATGAATGAATTACCTGTCGGTGGAGATATATAACGGAACCTAACAGGCGCCATGTCCCACCTTGTCTATCCACATGTAACATGCGCAATATCTGTAAAAACCTGACACCTCTGAAAAAACAAACAAACCAACAACATGTTTTCAAAATAATTTTTAATAAACGTTCAGCTGCAGTCATCTTTGAAACTTTTTAAGCTATTTTTTATACTAGTTATAAAAATGAGAGCAATAAATCATTTTATTGATTCCGATTAGTGGCAAAATGAAAATTTCATTAAGCAAAAGAAACAATCATCTTTGCGCTTGGAGAATTCGCACAACAATTAAAGATAATACATTTCTGCAATTTTTTTTGCAATTAGCTAAGCATCTATAAATGATAAGCATGAGCAGCCTTTATTTTTATATAAATCTTATGCAAATTTCTAAGTAGAATATTACAAATAATACTCTTGCAGCAAATTTGCATGCAAATTTCAAGCGCCTACGCGACAAGGAATTTGATTATATTTGTCTGGTCCATCAGAGAACCAATTTAATTTTTGTAACCAATAGTTTTTTTTCTCTCAGCATCTGCAAAACGATTACTTTTTGCAATTAACTTTGGCCGCTGTGAGACTTATACGGGTAAAATGTGTCCTTGGTTTACACCGGTCGATTCCATCATGTCACCATATTGCAGTAAACGGACACGACCTCACAATTTATTTTTCTCTATCATCCAAGGTATATGTCTCGAGAACTGATGGTTTACTTAAACTCCAGCTTTGACGGTGTTAGAGTAAAAATAGAAAAATTAATTTCTACTGCACCAAATGCTGCGTATTGAGACTTCATGTCATCCTCAATTTAGCAGTTTTGTTGACAATTACTGGAATATGTGTCATAATCATGAATCGTGGTCGAGTCTCAACAAGATTTTTTTGTCAGAATTGTTCGATTTTTATATAGAATTAAAAACTGAACGATGATTTTTTTTCATTTCTCCTTATGAAAAAAATGTCATTTAATGCCTCTAATTCAGAATATATCTCTGTTTTATATTTAAATGTTTTACTAACTATAGAAGATAGGGCAAACTAATTTAACTCTATGACAAACGAGATTAATATTTTTTTCTTTTCAATCGTCAACTTTTTCTATTCATGTAGTTATATCCCGGTACAAGTATTTCCCCTTTATTTTATTAACAACTCCAAATTATTCCATACACAAGAGAGTGCCCCAGTATGATCGAGGTCGGCAAGCTACTGACAGATACGTTGATATTATAGGGATTTTAACAAGCTCATTAGAAGTCAACATTTCGTAAAGTCGTTTTAATGACCTTGTTAGCAAATTTAATTTATCATTGGGTTGTATTCTGGCTGACTGGTTTCAGATTTATTTTGGGTCTACCCAATTTTTTTTACAGGCTGTTCGTCTGCTTTTTACCTGCATATCAAGACACAATTTCATTCTACAGCTTTTCATTTGAACTATCTGAGACGACTATAAATGTAGCATTATTGTATTTCAGTATTTCACTGAAAAAATGAACATACGGATTTAATTTAAAAGTAATGCTGGAGCAATACGATACAAATTCTATTGTACAGATTCAGTTTTCCAGTTTAGTATCAAGTTCATTCTTATCAGATTGTCGATTGGATCAGTTAGATTATTCTACTTTAGAATTTAAGTGAACTCACTGATGCTCTTATGAGGAGGTCGATTCACTACCAAGCTTATCTTAATCCGCGTTTACAGTCAACGTACTTTCGTTCCTTTGCTAATTATACTCACACGCACAAACTTATTTATTTTGTAAATATTCATTGAATGAAAAATGAACAATGTTATTTAATATTTATATTTGTAATTCGAAAAAAAGAAGTAATTCTTGCATATCCCAATAAAACACAGTGTGTGTGGATACCTTTTTTATTGAAAAATCAAATACTGGTAGCATATGCCTATAATTCCTCAAAATTATTATATTTCCAATTTACATCATAGTTTATGTTAGAAGACAGTGTTTCTTCTAGCGTTTAGTAACAGTTTCTGTACGGCATAGTATTTTTTATGAATTAGAAATATTGTAAAATTTGAGATTTTTACATTTGTAAAATACGTGCATCTCAGAGTATAAAAGAGCAAATTGCTTTAAAATTAGTATCAATATGAAAATCATTTTAGAATAACAAACTTATATATTTATTTAGTACACATCAAATTATTTTGATGATAGAATATCTATTACTCAAACAAAAATATACCTGCTGTTTTTTTTTCAAAGCTTAATTCTAATGACAAGCAAATAAGGCTTATAAGCCAACTAGTCTCGAAAAGCCATTAAGATTAGAATGAAAGGATACCATACAACAGAAATGACACAATACGTGTTTGTCAAAGAAGAGAATGCGTTAAAGCTAGAAAAGAAGTAATCAAATCTACATCATGCATTTCTCTAAAAACACGTCTCAGTCTTTAGAAGCAGATGCAATCCATCGCCTGTCATAACCTTGGTTTTATTTACGCGTGGCCACTCTCTAATACCTGACCAAGAAGCTACGAGAGTTTCTTGACCGATTAGTAACACATTCCTGATGCTAAAATGGGTTTCTACGATAAATGTTGCTGCATTATTATCAGCAAATGTCCATAACAACCATTTGTTTATATTCATCATTCGATCAACACATTCAAACACGTCTACCACAAAGTGATATGTTTATCAGATCGGAAACAATCTCTTCAGATATTCAAAAATTTGCAAAAAAAGGTCCAGGAATTGTTTCCGAAATGATACTAATTACAAGTACTTTCTACATTTCGCAATTATTGAATGATAGACAACAAACGAAGACATATCAAGAAAGAACAGCAAAGTTCTAGATCCTGTACAAGCAGACAGGAAGCGGAAGAAGACAATACAGTGACGTCATCACAGTCAAATTTTACCTTATCGCGGAAGTAGCAAATACCTGCCCCTCAGAACCAATAGTAAAAACGCAAATAGAAGCCACGACAACGATTAGATCTGTAAAAAGAAAAATGGTGTCCATAATAAACTATTCTAGGTGTATATACCTTATTGCTGACGCGGCGAATATCTGCCCTTCGGAGCCAATTGTAAAAACAACCATGGAAGCCAAAACAACAAATAAATCTGCAATTAAAATGTTTTTGTCATAGTAACAGAGTGGTTGTCATGGTAACAAGGTGATTGTCATGACAAAAGGCTTTCAATCTTCCGTATTCTTGCAGAATCAAAATGAAATTGAGTTTATAATTAGTATTCAAAAGAAAATATTAATTATTAGGATTGCAAAAAATTATCATGTGAGTCGATTTTAGACTATGGTGTTAGAAAGACAAATGCTAAATCCCAATATCTCATTTAAAAAAAAATACCGGTATCTAGAACGTTTTAATATTTTGCAACTAGAGGTGCAATAACTCGCTCGAGCCAGCACACACTTAATTCCCTGTGTTCAGGCATTTGAAATCAAAGCATCATAATAGCTTAAATGAAATCCTATAAGTTGTATACTTATTTTCATGATATCAGATCTATCTATCCAATGGTCAACGATTTCTATATAAAACCATGTCGCTTAAGCAAGCGCTTTTGATATGTGTGGATAACGTTTATCCAATGCATATCCCTTACTATACAGTTTCCTCATTCCATACTATATTTAACCTCTCAATGTCACATAAACAGAATTAAACATGTGTGTGTATTTAATTATTAGGTGAAATAAGAAGAAGGAGAATTTAATAAAGAGTAAAATCTTATATTAAAAAAATATTACAGCGGAAACCACTCGTGTTTTAATTCACAACGCATTATTATCAGTGACGTAATAATATGGAATAGATCTGAAGCGTATGTCATTGGATAGAAAGTCAAAAGAGGTTATTCATCGTTTTAGAATAAAACATTTAGCTTGAAAATATCCCATGTTTTGTGACGACTTTTATCAAATGCATTCTCAATTCGTTATCCAAGAACTGCAAGAAAACTAAATGTTATTTAAATTTTTCAAATTCAAAAGACTTTTAAAAACATTTTTTTAAGAAAAGATAAAATATACTTTTAAAAAAAATATTATTAGCTCTACTGGTCAGAGACTAGAAGAGCTTATGCGATAGTAATGCGTCCGGCGTCCGTCTGTCCGTCTGTCTGTAAACAATTTTTCAAAATGCTACTCCTCCTACAGTTTTGGTCTAATTTCAATATAACTTGGCACACAAGTAGACTACACTAAGATACATAATTCTGTGTATATCGGTTTTTGATTTGGATGAACGGTGTTGCCGTGGTTACTAAAAATAGAAATTTCTGTGAAATTCTTTCAAAATGCTACTCCTCCTTAAGTTTTGGTCTAATTTTAATATGACTTGGCACACAAGTAGACTACACTAAGATACATAATTCTGTATATCGGTTTTTGATTCGATGAACGGTGTTGCCGTGGTTACTAAAAATAGAAATTTCTGTGAAATTCTCTCAAAATGCTACTCCTCCTACAGTTTTTGACTGATTTCAATATAACTTGGCGCACAAGTAGACTACACTAAGATACATAATTCTGTGTATCAGTTTTTGATTTCGATGAATGTTGTTGCCTTGGTTACTAAAAATAGAAATTTCTGTGAAATTCTCTCAAAATGCTACTCCTCCTACAGTTTTTGACTGATTTCAATATAACTTGGCACACAAGTAGACTACAATAAGATACATAATTCTGTTTATCGTTTTTTGATTTCGATAAACAGTGTTGCCGTGGTTACTAAGAATAGAAATTTCCATGAAATTCTTTCAAAATTCTACATCTCCTACAGTTATGGACTGATTTCAATATAAGTTGGCACACAAGTAGACTACATTAAGATACATAATTCTGTTTATCTGTTTTTGATTTCTATGAACAGTATTGCCGTGGTTACTAAAAATAGAAATTTCTGTGAAATTTTTTCAAAATGCTACTCCTCCTACAGTTTTGACTGATTTCAATATAACTTGGCACACAAGTAGACTTCACTAAGATACACAATTCTGTATATCGGTTTTTGATTTCCATGAACAGTGTTTCCGTGGTTACTAAAAATAGAAATTTCTGTGAAATTCTTTTAAAATGCTACATCTCCTATAGTTTTGGACTGATTTCAATGTAAGTTGGCACACAAGTAGACTACACTAAGATACACAATTCCGTATATCTGATTTAGACTTTGATGAACATCATTGCCTTGATTACTAAAAATAGAAATTTCTGTTTAATACTTTCAAAATACCACTCAAATACAGTTTTAGTCTGATTATAATATAATGTGGCATGCAAGTAGACTACATTAAGAACATAGAAAGACTTAATCAAGGATCATTATTCTATTTATTGCTGTTATAAAGTTTCAATTCCCAACTGCTTAAGTATTTTTCTCTTCCTTTGCTATAAGTACAAACCAGTAGAGCTTCAGTCTCGACAGAGACTTCTGGTTTTTGATTTAGCATTTAGCTCATAAAATTTATATTCTAATATTTCACAGATAAAACGGTTTTCTTTGTGTATTTGATGTATTTTACATGTTGGCTAGTGTACTTCTATACTAAATCTTCTTGAAACCTGACCAAATTTGTAGAAGACCAAACCTATAAAGGAAGTGGGTAGTGTTTTGAAAGAATTTCAAAGAAATTCATATTTTAGTAACTATGGCAACACTGCATGTTTATTGATATCAAATACCGAGTAATAGAACTGTGAAATTTTAAATTCTGTCATGCCGAGATTAGACCAAAAACTGAAATATGAGTATTGTTTTGAAAAAAAAAATCAAAGGAGAGTTTTCTAGCTTAAGTTACCATGGCAGCACCGATTGTCGAAATCGAATGTCAAAACTGATAAAAAGAATAATTTATTATGTAACTTAGTGCAGTATATTTTTGTTCCATTATTGAAATTGGACCAAATCTTCAGAGGGAGTGGCGTTTTGAAAACCTTTCTAAAGACATAAAGCAAGACAGACGATGACACCTTAATGTCACGTAGGCTCTTCTAGTATCTGGCCAGTAAACTTAAAAATCCACCAAGAAAGTCATTCCTTTGCTTTTACTTTTTGAAAGAAATAAGAAAAATATATATTATTTGTTTCCTTTTTACACACGTTTCAGTCAGTATATAAAGTATTAAATGATTTCATGTGCTCGGACAATAAAATATTAATATTATTTAATTACTAAATATACCTAAACATTTGTTCAGAAAAAAGAGTACCTGGTATTACAAAAAATCAGTCACAACAGTAGTAAATTGCTTTCCTGGCCAAAAAAAAGTTACATTTTATTAAATCTGAAAGTTTACGTTAAATAAAAATCATGGTTCTAAGAATTGATGTTTCCTTTTCCGCAATAAAAGATAATAATCGAATGTCTTCCAATCCATTTAAAGGAAATTTATTAGTCTTCTATCAAATGATTGGTTTCTGACAATAAATTACGATAGAAGTCCCGGTCAATATTTATCCATCAGTATTACATCATTACATTATCATTTTTGGTACATGTAAGAAATATAAATACATTCTGAATGATTTTTGCATAAAATAAAATCTTTTTCATCAAAGAAGTGGCCACGGTCAGTCAATGGACGTGATAATAGCGCTATACCTATAATGGAAATGGGTTTCTTGGCAAACCGGAATCTTCCCTTCATTCCCATGTATTTACTTCTACATCCGGCCGACCATAGTCGTATCACATACTCCAGGCCAAAGAAAGCCACTAAAACAATCTCCTAGAATGAGAAATTAAAATTGTATCATATATCTACACTGTACAACAAAAAATTACAACAGTATCATAAATCTTAACTATACAACAATCTTCTAGAATGAGAAATTACAATTGTATCATAAATCTACTCTGTACAAAGATATTTAGTTACATGCTAACTCACTCACTTTTTCCTGATTGTCTTAGCAATAGCTAACTATGATATTCTTACTATATTTTTTTATTTACTAACTTTCTGTCTTAATTACTAATACCAACTAAATACATTTACATTACTAACTAAACTTAGCCACTCTCTTATTTTCTTGACTTACTTTCTAACTTATCTTATTTACTGACTTATTTTACGTACTGACTTACTACCTAACATACTTTCATACTTTAATTACAGTACGTACAAACCTTAATGTTTACTTAGGCACTTGTCGTATAGGGCTCTCGATCTTTTTTATAAGCATATAAATTCAAATGCAGATACAAAGTAAATTTTAGTTGCTTGAAAATCTTTAAAGATTTTCAAACTTTTCTGTGCAAGAAGATTTTCAAACTTTTCTGTGCAAGATGTAATATCTTACATATTGGTGTCATAATTTTGAAATTTGTTTGTTAAAGCATGTACAATGTTTATTAAAACAGTTTTATCATTTTTGATTTATTGCTTCAGATAAATTCACTTTATTTAAGACTCATTATTTGTGCACAGGCATCTCCCGTGACTTTTCATTTCTTCAATTCATGTATAACGTAAGACCAGACAAACCTTAACCATTCTGTCTGCAAATGTCAAAATATTATGAACAGCCTACATGCTAGAAACAAAGGACGATGAGACGTTAATTTGATCTGATAAGCTCACACGAGCCTCGCTTATCGTGTTGATTGGATATAAAAACATACCATCCAAAAAAGTGTTTCCATTGCAAAATCGTCGTAGTCTTCTATGGTAGATAAGACACTAAAGATAAGGCAAATCAACACCATCATGAACCTGTAATAGATTGATTTATTCTTGTTCACTATCAGCTCTGGCATATTTCACCCCGTCGTCACAACATCGATTTTTAACCTTCAATTTAACCTTAAGATTAATTTAAAAACTTTTGAAATGAAGATTTATATTATGATGTTATATACCTACCATCCCATTTAAATTATTTTTTTTGAAGAAAGTTGCTGTTCACCAAGTGGTTCAGACAGTGGTATTGTGAAAGTGTCTCTGTTTATTTTTAGTTCGAATTCTTAGAATCGGAGGAAAAAAAATGAATCTTGTAAATGCTATGTAAATGTTTCTCACTAATTAAACATGACTGCTTGTTTTCCAGTTCAAAATAAATTCCCTTATCTTTTTAATCACCTCTCGATCGTATTTGTAATACATGTCACGATGCAAACTGTTTACATGTTCTCTCGTTTCTTGTGGATTGAAAAGGAGAAGAATTTTCAAATTGAAAACAAGATGGTCCGTGAAACACTGATGCCCCTCGTATGGCAGCTTATGGTCAGATCTGAAGTTTATACTCCAAGGTCAGTTTCAAAAGGTCAAAATTGTTGCTATTCAAAGAAAGGTCTTGTAACAAGAAATACATGTGAAGTGTGAAAGCCTTGACACTAACTATTATAACCAACCAATGTTATTTAAAGTTTTTTTAAAAGTGGGTCAATTCTTTAGGTAAAAAGGTCAGATTTGGTGGTACCCAAAGAAACAAGGAGGAAACGGAGAAACCTATATAAAATATGAAAGCCATAGCTTTCCTAGAGAGGAATGCTTGTATTTGATGTAACATATGTAATGTTTCAATAGATTATGATCTATATGTACCACTTTGAACAAAAGGAACTTGGGAAAAACTGCTCCTAATACAAATACTAGTACCTGAAATCTCTCTTGTGGCTGAGTTAGTAATTGATAATCACTGAACCAACTATTACAAGTCAGAGTTTCCTCAATGGTGATAAAAGTCTAAGGAAGACCTTTACGTACGACGAAATAAAAATGAACGAAATCAGGCAGTCTTTAGATCATTGTTTGACAAACCGTGCGCTTTATTGCTGTTTATCCTTGTACTGAGACCTCAATTACACCCGCTACTGGATATTGATGTTTCAAATCACGTGATACATCTAGATTAAGTATTATCACCATAACTAGATATCATCAATGATGTTCGATTGGAACTCCGGTATTCTGTAATATAATACGCCTTATGTTTTATCATATTCACTGTTAACCACTTTCGCTAATGTTTTATCATTGTGCCTAGCTTACGCATTCTGACAAATGGGTCAATATTTTAAGGTCACGGCGTGCGTTTCCTCTAGCGCTTAGAGTACACCAATCAAGCATTTTAATCTGCATAGCTTTGATCCTAAAGAGTTCACGGTTCCAATCCATTGCAAATATGAGATGCTTTCATTGGGGAAAAAATGATACTTTCTGTGATCAAACAGCTGTTGTAGGGATGAATGAATTAAAAGTTTCAATCTTTAACAAAATCATTAACCTTCCATTAATGTAGATCATTTTGATTGTACGTATTAAGCAAATGTTAGGAATTTCTTTCTTTTTTTTTTTTTACTTTTTACATTTATAACATTCAGCAAATTTTAAATTTTTCTCATTCAAGACACATATCCCAGTCAGTGAAAGTCTCTTGGATATTTAAATAAAAAAACATGCATGATGCATGCAATTAAAAGAAAACGAATCACAGGAAATTACCGTTTTTACGAGTTTAAATAATGAACATATAATGCAAAATGCTGCCAATGATTTTTTTTAAAAATCCACACTTATAATAGAAATCACCTGCAAATAAATATACTTACACAGTAAAATGATAAATAAAACACTTCCATCCCGTGGGCCTTTCTAAGAAATTGTAAATTTGAGCCTGTACATTGTTTTTGCTATGAATTCGAGTGGCATGTATAGAATTTTTCTCGTTCATGCCCATGGACACTTGGTATGATTTCGAGTCCGTTCCTGTGCAGGAAGTATGGTTAGAAGAGGAATTGAACTCGGACTCCTCATATTCCGGTACTACATAGGTAGAGTTGGGTAAAAATTTCCCCATGGCTTTATTTCCTTTGTCGCGAAATAATCCTTTCATTTCCACCCGCGGAATGAAGGTTCTCCTCTCCTCCATGTCATCTCTGTTCATATCCATCATGGAGTCTCATTGTCATCTCACTAGTTATTACACAAAATATTCCAATGTAATAAACAAATCCAAGTATTATCCAGAAAAGATGTGAGTACTTTTCAAATTAGAAAACGTATTTTCAGGAAGTTGAAAAAAAACTGCTCACATCACTGTCGCGTTCTTTCTTGTGTTGCCGCCTTTCTAGGCATCTGCAAACAAAGTAAAATTAACTGCAACTGCATTCTAGAAAATCGACAAGGAAGAAAACTATTGATCATATTACTGTTTGACAACGAAGCTTATGATAAATAATTACAGTAAAAATTGTAAAAGACATTCAAGTTAATTAAGCGCATACTCCGCACGCATTCTATGGACAAGTACAATTTCGATTTCTTAATATCTTTCTGTGTCTTAATTAAGCCGTACGAAAAAGTGACATGCACACAATCTGTTTTTTGCGAAAAAGAATTCCACGTACATGCTCAAAACATGTCATGATAGAAAATCGTTACTGTTTCCCAAAATATTTTTTTTCAAATGGTATTTTGCTGGAGACTCTATTTCTAGCTTCTGAGAATATGATTACTGATACATGTATTGCATTTCGCTGTTCAACCAATTTTGTAATAATTTCAGTTAATCGTATTTGAAAATTGGAAATATGCTGGCAAGATAACTCATATTTAGCTATTATTTCCCAAATTTAGAAAGTGTTAAGAGTTCATAGACAAGTGTAATTAAATGAAAGATTTAAGTTGAGAGATATTACTGGTAGGTAGCTATAGATTTATAATACAAAATGTCATTCATTACGAAAATTGGACACGTTTATATGACACTGGGAATTAATGAGATCGAACATAGAATCAACTTTTATATTCACCTACATGTAAAAAATTCCAAGAAAGATTTTATTTGCATTTTTAAGTTCCTCATGAAAGCTTTATGGATAAGTTAATAAGGATGAATCCAATATGATTAGGTACAAATGTCTCTTTAATCATCAATATTACAGCCCTAATGATAAACCATTATTCTTCAATTACACGAGAGACGCCTTTTAAGGAATCTGATATATTACATTATTACTGCTACCCAACTAAACAAGTATAGTTTTGGGACAAAAATTGCACACGATGTAAAATTATAATCAAAAGAATTTTCTTGAGAATCCTTTTCATCACGAGTACGAGTGCTTTGATATTTCTCTATCTTATCCTTATTTACTGTAAATTAATAATTTTCTTTTATTCGCTTCAGTTTTTAATCCATCCACGACTACTAATTTTTGAGACAGAGGCAACATTGCACAGAATGCATAGGTGAGAAATTGATCCGCAAAGAGGAATATTCGCGAGTAAATGATGGTCACAAAACTCGCGGATATTTCTCACTAGCGAATTACAATTGGATACAGGATTGTTTTCTGTTTTTTTTTTTTTTGATATGATACGCATCTGTCACAAAACTTCAAAATTCTGAAAATAATACAAGCTAACGGGGTTGTCATGGAGATTTTGGACTAATTAAACTCTTTAAAATGCCTATGATATTAAATATTATAGCTACATCATATGGGTTTATTGTCTTCACAAAATAATCGTTCATTGTTAGAAAAATCCTATTTCATATATTAAAGTGACTCTGTTGAGTAACAAGTAGGACCATAATCAGCTTAGGGCATCAAACACTTAATAAGATCTGAAAAACGAAACATGAATTAATCTCACAAATTTTTTAACATGTCGTCGACCAAATCAATAACAAAGAAAAACAAATATATCTTGAACATCTTTAGAAATCATCCCCTTTTTCAAAATTTTAGAAAATCGTTATCCTCCCTTGTTTATCTCTGGCCAGAGTATACAAAACTAACAATTGTTTTAAACTCTTTGGCAAGTTTATTTACTAAAAGACCTTTAATTTCCAAACCCTCTTCCCTCTAAACAGTAAGAGATTCCTGGTCTAAAGTAGATGTTTTTTTATTCCTGCTTGACCTGTAGGTTTACATAACCACCATCACCCACATTCTATCCATCAGCCCCCACAATTAAAATGCTACAAGGCATATAGAGCTTACATTGTAATTGTAATCACCGTTTTCCGTTTCACTGTTTGTAATCAACATTTGTAATCAACATCTTTTGCTTCGCACTTTTGTTATCAACATTCATTTTGCGTTTTTGATCAAAAGAGATTAGATAAAATACATCTGAGCATTTCAATTTTCTTCACAAAGCCTTCTTCGAAATTTGAAAATCTAGCAACAATCTAGCAACAAATGTGAAATCAAAGTGAAAGCTATCATTCAGAGAAGTGGAAGGAAACAGTAAATTTAATTAATCTTCAAATTAAATTTAATGTTTTGGAGTTGCTCTACACATATTGAAATAGAAAATAATGAAATGCAAAATTTTCGTTTTAATTTCTCAATTTAATTTCATTCAAAACAAGATGTTTACTTCTTAACACGATTTTTTTGTTTACAGTTAAGTCATATTTACAAATGAAAAAGATATTTAAAATATCGATAGATTAAAATTTATAAAAATTCACGGTATTTCTATTTTCTCTTCCGTGTATTATTTCAGAGTAAATTATCAAGTCATTTTTTTTTTGTAATGTATAAAGTCCAAATGTTGCAGGTTTAATATCAAGCAAACCACAAGCCGAGGTGCGGTCTCTGTAATATGACATAACAAATGATAATTAATCTAGGTGGAGGGATATTTACTTGCAGAATTGAGGATTACTTTTGCATAGTTAATGCTTAGATTCACCATAAATTTGCAGTTGTAGCAACACCTGTACAAACAGTTGGCGTCTAATTAGCAAAGTTATTGATCTTATTAAAAGAGAAATCCCAGACTTTAACACACATCTGTTTTGCCTGTTTGACAGATGGATTATAAAATTACCATAAAACAGTGATTTGATAAATTTTCGAGGACACCCTCCCGGAGTTTGACATCAGATCAGTAAAGCATATTGTAATTTTTTTTAAAATAAAAACCCTCTATGTTTTTCTTAATTTCTGGAGATCAGATATAAATCTAGTTCCGCTATCAAGACTCGATCTGACTTGAGTCTCTAAAATTCGAACAACATTTGTTCTTTTGTAGGGAACCGGAGTACTTTTAAAAAAAAAGTACTGAAATTCAAAACGGGCACCTGCTGGGCGCAACGTCATCTTTCTGTTACGTGTACAAGAGATACCTTTCCTCAGAACCAATCCCCCCGGAGCTTTTACCTTGACCTACATGGAAGCCTCTCAGATATGTTTAACGACTGAAACATATTGTATACAGGTTCCGGTCGTTTACGTGTATGAGTAGATAACAAATAAAATAATTACGCCAATATGTTACAGAAATTAAAAACGTTTAAATCATATTAGTATGACCATGAACTATCTACCAGAAAGTTCACCCTGCAAAGAGCATGAAGAGTGCATATAGTTAATTATACAGAAAGCTGAACATGCAGATTTTTAAAGTATGTATGGGATTAATTAGGGACATAAATTAAGCTGACCGTGTCAGGTTTCATTCAAAGTCCTACCTTCAAACGATTCATCTTAAATCCTACAAGACCATTTTACACACGGTTCATCAGATTCCACAGAGATCTGACATAAATCATAAATACTTCGCACTTTGTCTATTTTCTACCAACAAACACAGAAGCCATCAATGCCTTGGTGAAGAGCCGGCTAGCTGTCGGCTTTTTGTAATTAAACGTGCAACAAATCGGCTTCAGAGGCTGACGATTCAAAATCGCACGCCATCTGTACGAACACCATCCACCTCACATGACCTCCATGGAGACTAGTGAACAAAATTTGTTGCAGGTAAGTTGGATCATCTTCCTCTATTGGTGAAGGTGTGGATCTCACTTTTATCCTCTGCTATATTCTAGCCATAAACCATTTATTTCGCCCCAAGTACTGATAACGGCTCCAAAATGTGACCAGCACTTAATCTCGGTGATAATATCAGAGCCGAGGACTGTCTCCCGTCCGCTATGGATGCACAACACTACTTCAGTTTTAAATGTCATCTAGAAATCGAAACACAAGCCGCAATCTATAAATAAGCCTAGTAAACAAATCGATGAGGAAGCAAATCTCAGTCAATCGTTTAGCTGTTGAAGATGCAGTGAGGACCGGGAAATGTTTAAACTTAAACAAGAGATAAACATCGAGAATTGGATAAAAGTTGATTACATAATTCATTAAGAAACATTTTTCTCTCATTGGAAAAATGCTATTTTTCTGTGTAGGTAAAGACCAAAGCAATTTTTTTTTTTATCAACTTCTAAACATTAATATTTCAAAGAAAGAAAATGATCAACATTTTATTTGTACTTGATTCAAATGTTTTATTTTTAATCATTGACTTGAATTTTATTTGAAAATAAGATTAATATCAAGCTCCGTGCTCTGTATTTTGCTGTTTTATTACAATCATAACAACATTTTTGACAAGAAGAAGAAAACACTATTTTGCAGTAGAAAGTCCCATGCATTACTGAATGAGGTAAAAACAGTACGGGTCCGTGAGTACTAAGTACATCGCAGTCGTACGTTAGAATGTCCACAAGTTCAAAGGTCCTGGTGTTAAAACGAAAATCTGCGGCACGGGTATGACCATGAGAGAAGGCTTTGCAGTAACTAGGTACAAGTTAGATCGTGTACGAGTTTGCTGAATAAAGACCTAGGTTTCGTGTTTTGTGTTCAAATAAAAAATAACAAAGCAGTCTGATTGACTAAAAACAAGAAAGGATGTTTGAAGAATGTTTTTTTTTCAAAATAGAAGAAAGTAATCTGATTTAGGAATACGGAGAAAGGTTAAAAATATGTTTCCCTCTTTAAATCCATAGCTGATTCAGAAAATCATTTATCTTTACAAATTTTAAGTGCCAAACTTTGATAACGTTATTGTTGGGCAAAGAATAACTTGGTTATCTAAGCGTAGTTCACACTGATGAGTTACCGAGAAAGTGAATTCAATTAAGCCATATGGAGGGGATTTATAATTTCTAACATAATAGACAAAAAATGTCGGACTGATCATCTTGACTATCGCGTCGGTGAGGATGACTACAGAATCTGAATTACTTCTAAAGAATTACGAATATTTGTAACAATTCTGACCAATAACATCTCAGACCTTTCTTGTTGTTTTTCCGCGATTGTAGAAAAATGCCCGAGATGTTGCAATTACCACTATGGCAAGATAAATGTCCACAAGCGAGCATTTTTGAGAACATTTTATGATCTATGGAATCTAATACCAGAGAAAACATTAACACTTTGTTAATGTCTTCTTTTCCTTCCTGAACATGCAGACAGTTTTGCAACGTGGACGATACGGGCTTTATGCGTTTTTATTACATTGCCAGATTTTATTTATTTGGTTCCTTTGTTTTCTCTCTTTCTGCTTGAAAGTTAAAAAGCCATTTTAAGTTTGATTCTACTGTTATATGTAACATTAGGATCCAGACCTGCATATCCGTGAAATATGCGGGAAAACGTGACTTATGTCCAACACCAGAGACAATTATAACTATAGCTCCTTAATAGGGGAAAACCTACAGGAGCTGCACAAAACAGAATACATATGCATGGTTTGATTGAAATTAGTTCACGTCCGTACAAAATGAAACCTAATAATATTGAACTGGGAAAGGGATCTGCGGTCTTTTTCTGTTGTAATTAGTTACAAAATATGGCTTCATGGTATTCATTCACGCTTTCTGATGTGTTTAGCCATCATCTTTATAAGAAGTCATTGACAACCCAGATAACTATATTAAGAATTTAACAATAAATCAAAATTTTAGCGTCATGTTAGTTATGTAAAGAGTTTTGAGCATTTTAGAAATTTTGATTCTTTAGATTCACTTGTTGAACATTTATATAAAATAAGTTTACTCAGTACATATATATTAATACTTGGCATGTAGCTTGTTCGAGTAGGTCACAAATAATTATTCAGATTCATAAGTCAGAGCAATCACTTTTTAATGCTTGAAAAAGTAAGAATATTTAATCAAAGTCAATCATTGACATTCATTCGCTCCAAGTCACCCGTGCAGAGTTTAGAGCGTCTACTCTAGAGTCGTGGAGTAAGGAGTTGATCCTTACGTTGCGATTTCGAATCCTACTGTGGGACGTGGATACTGATCCTTCGGATGAGACCGTATAAACCGAGGTCCCGTATCGCAGTAGGAGCGGGCACGAAAAAGACCCCTCACTGCTCAATTGCCCTGAGTGCCGATTATATAAAGGACCAAATTTGCAGCTTTCCACAGGCAAATGGTGGCGTTTCCATTTGAGTGAAATATTCTCGAGAGGGACGTTAAACAACAAAACAATCACTTCCTTCAATCATGTGGTGATCAGAATGACACAACCTGACAGTCACACTAATAATAACGGACATAGGACTTGGGCACATTTCCATTTTTCCACTAATGCAAAGTTCTCCTGAGGAATATTGCAATCCCACCCCGGTAACGCCCGGGTCTTGGGTTTCAATGTACGTGGCTGTCTCTGTCTCACACTCTTGTTCAGTTCATCCCAAAGATGCTCTAGTGGGATTGAGATCCTGAGATTTGTGTGGCGCTAATAGCTTTTCCATGTTACCATTTTAAAGAAGTTAGTTTTGCAATGTATTGTCCGACGTTAACATGGTTGAATTTGCATTGTTTTGCTACATCATAGGAAGCACAAAAGGTTGTGCAACTTCATCAAATATTGGTTAGACGTAGGTGTGCCTTGATATTGCACCAGATCTATCCTGCCATTGTAAGAGTCGCCCTAATGGCACAGTGGCTAGAGCGTTTGAATCCCACTGCGGGAGTGGAGACCGGTCAATTGAATGAGACCATATAAATCGAGTCCCGTGTGGCAGTACATGCTGGGACGAAAAAGTTTCCTCGCCGCTCACTGCTTAATTGCCCTGTATGCGGAGTGCAGGTCCAAAAATTTGCTGTCGTCAATCCAAGGTTAAGTGAGAAGAGGGACGTTAAACAAACAAAAAGAGCATGTGCAAGATATTGCTGCCCCCATAATTGCATGTACACTACCCCTTTATGCAGGTGGCAGCAAAACCTTAGCTCTGTTTGGCCTCGTCATCCCCTTGCTTCCTCATCAGCACATTGCAGCAAAAATCTCGATTCGTCACTCATCCATTACTCTTCTCCATCGATGTTGTGGCTTAACTCTGTGTTTTTAAGCCTACCGGAGTCTTTTCTCTAACCATAACCTTTAAAGTCTTGCTCTGAGTCAAACATCCTGCAAACGGTTACAAGCAGTTTGATCAGAGAAACCGCGCCTATTTAGGATCAAAAACTGTAGATGATGAAGATACAAATCCTTCTCTCAAGTAGTGTAAGTGCTGCTGCTGACGTCATCCATGGTACGTCGGCCACTGCGTGGATGATCATGTGAAGACCCTTACATGCGATTCTTTCCAGATAGGTGCTTTTTGAAACATAGGAGCATTTACAACCTCTGTTTGGATTACATCGGTTCTCAGACGTTCCAATATGGTATTGTTGCAGTCAGCTTCACGTACATGTACACGTGGTAAACTAAGTTCTTTTGCAAGAAGATTGGCATCCCTATGATGTCTTCAGTTTCTCCAGAGACTTCAGTTGTAAGGAATTACGTATCTTTCGCAATTCTGACATAATATATGTCCACTCGCGAGTATCTTCTTGGACATTTTGTGATCTACATGGAAACTAATAGCTTCGAATAAATTAACACTTTGTCAATGTCCTGATTTCCCTTGTGAGCATATAGGCAATTTACAATGTGAAAAATATTTGCTTTATGCGTTTTTTTATTAAAAGATTTTATCTCTTTTTTCGTTCTTCTTGCTTGAAAGTTAAAAACAGTTGTAAGATTAAATGCACCGTTGACAATATGTAATAAATTCACTTCAAAGCTTAAGGTCCATATGTTAGTAACCAGTGTGTCCCCTGCTAGCGCAGTAACAGACCGGCTGAACCTTCTAACCAATGCTTGATTGATTGTGTGTTGTTTTACGTCCCATTCGGGAATTTTTCACTCAAAAAGAGACAACCATGTACTGATGAAATGTTAGAATTTCTTTATTTCGAATCGTAATTTCACACTCAAGGCTATTGAGCAATTAGGTATCTTTATCGTGCCAATGCCTTTTGTGACACGGGGCCCCTCAGTTTTTAAGGTTTTCTTAAAAGAACCACAACTTTCACATCAAAGTGACGAGGTGAAGGAACAGTACTTATTTTTATCGAAATGGTCAGTCGCGGCCGAGGTTCGAACCCACGATCTTTCAAACATGTGCAACTGATGCTAAGTTCCAATGCTCTGCTGAGGAATATTGTTCCACGTCCCTCTGTAACGCCCCGGCCAGTTTTTGCAAGGTCTGTGGCTGTCTCTTCTCGCATGCTCAGTTCAACCCAAAGATGCTCTATAGACATGCAATGTTTCCGTTCTACAGGTAGCAAACCTTATAATGTGCAGTCGAACTTTCTCTTGACAAAAAATTGCATCGTTTGCTGCATCACAAGAAGCAAAATAGGTTGCAAATTTCTAACAATATCTGCTGACTGTAATAGGACCCTGAAAATGTATCAGATCTATTCTGCCAGTGTAAGAGTCACCCGCGTGGAACAGTTGTTAGAATTTGTTGTAGAGTCGCGTAGTAAGAAGTTGATAAATGTCGTGAGTTTGATTCCCACCGAGAGACGTGAAAACCGGTCCGTCGGATGAGACCGGGTTAACCGTTGTCCCATGTTGCATCAGATGCTGGATCCGAAAAGATTACTCACTGTTCAGTGGTCCAGAATGCCGAGTAAAGGTTTTATATTTGCGGCCGTCGATCTACCGGCAAGTGGCTGTGTCTCAATAACAGTGGAAAAATTTTCGAAAGGGGCGTTAAACAAACAGAAAAGCCGGAGAAACATATTGCTGCCCTCAAATCTACACTACCCCCAACCAAATTCATCAACCTCCTTACTGCAGTTGGAAGCGAAACCCCCCATTCGGCCTTTGTAAACCCTGGCCTGCCAATCAACATTATGCAGTTATAATCTCAATTCGTCACTCTTCCATTACACTTTCAGTCGATGTT